AGCGCAGAGGATGAGCCGATGCAGAGGGTGGGAGAAATCGAGCAGCTTGATTTGAGGAAAGGGAAGCGTCTCATTAAAGCGGCTCTGTGCCGTCAATTGAACACGTGGGGCGAGGTGACGTTTTAGTGGGGAGAGGAGGCGAGGGGGGGGGTGGGAAGAAGGAGTATCTCATTGCAGGTGGGGTCCCCTGGGCTTGTGGCACGTGACGGGTGCCAGCCAGGCCTGCTTCTTGCCAGCACTGGGTGTGGTGCTGGCGAGCCCTTCCCATCTCCTGGGTCACGGGGGATGGCGGCCTGGAAATCCAGGAGCCTGTCCTAGAAGTGGGGCAGGGGGTGCCTGGGCAATGCCTGGGGGGGATTGGGGCTGCATGGTGCAACTGCTGTGCTGCTCTAATTGCTTACGGGCCTTGGCCCCGCCACCCTGTGCTCATGGAGGGGCCGTGCCAGGCTCCTCCAGCTCGCCCTGCTGGCCGCGGGCTTCCTTTGGCCCAAAACGCAGGGCCTGGAGGCAAGCCCCAGGCCGGGGTAGGGCTGGGGGCACACGGCACCGGGCAGAGCTAACAGCCAGCCTGGGAACCAGTCCTCCAGCAGCCCTGGCTCTGACTCAGGGAGACCGCAGCAGGGCTGCCGGCTCTGGCTCCGCCGGGTGACTCACTCTCACATGCCGTGCACAGATGCTCAGCAGTGGTGACGCTGGGCTCTGGAGTACTGGCACGGCCCCTGCCCCTTGCTCACCCTGTACACGCGTGCGCACGTGCACTGAGTGTTACGTCTGCCCTTCCCACAGGCAAGTCGGAGGGCAACGGCAAGATGCACATCACGCTGTGCGACTTCATCTTCCCTTGGGACTCTCTGAGCGCCACCCAGAAGAAGAGCCTCAACCAGAGGTACCAGATGGGCTGCGAGTGCAAGGTAAGCAGCGCCCGTGCCTGGGAAGATGTGGAGACGTAAGAGCAGAGGCTCTGGGGATCTTGGCTGCATCGTTGCTGGAAGCACTAGGGGAGAGCACGTGGCCAGCCAGGCCCTGTCCTTTAGGGATCCTGGGGTCCACCGGGCAGGCACGTGGGGATGCCATGGCTGAGCCCACTGGAGATGCCAGACCAGGGCACTTGGGGTGGTGGTGATGGAGCCAGTCACTCCTGGTGTGCTGGCCGCGGGGAGGGCGTGCAGAGGCCCTGGCAGGGCGTAACGGGGTCCATTGTGCCACAGATCTCGCGCTGCCCCTCCATCCCCTGCTTCGTGTCCTCCTCGGACGAGTGCCTCTGGACGGACTGGGTGACAGAGAAGAGCATCAACGGGCGGCAGGCCAAGCACTATGCCTGCATCAAGCGCAGCGACGGCTCGTGCGCGTGGTACCGGGGTGTGGCCCCGCCCAAGCAGGAGTTTCTTGACATCGAGGACCCCTAGCCCCCGCCAGCAGCTGCATCCCCGCGTCCAGTAGCAAAACCTGCGAGACATTAGACTGGTCCACCCCTGACATCACCTCCCGGAAACAGCATGAAAACCCAGTGCCCTGCGCGGGCGACTGACCCCTCGGGGGGAGGGACCCGCACCCCAGCCCACCCCCATGCTGCACCCCCCTCGCGGAGGGCCCATGCCGCGCCGTCCCGGGGAACCTGCCGTGCCAGGCCCCAGAGCCGCGGTGGAGGGCGGGGGGTGACCCTGTAGCTGGTCTACTGGGCCCCCCGCCCAGCGGAGCACCCTCCCCATGTTGCTCTAGCCCCACGTGCCTCTTGATCCCATCTCCACCATTGAGCCAGCGTCCCCCACCAGTCCCGTCCCCACTCAACACAGACACCCCCTTGGGCAAGAAGGGAGCATCCCTGCTCAGGTCCTGCCCCCCAGAAATGCATCCCCAGCAGCCAAGTCTGCAGCCCTCTGCCAAAGGGGATAAAGGCCCTTGTGATGGATGGGACATCCCAGGAGAGGCCCTGTAGCATCGGAGGGGGCAGGACTGTCCCCTGCCCGCTTGCTCCCAGGAGCTTTTGGGTCTCGGTTCCCCCAGTTAGCGGATGCTGCATCGGGGTGAGGGGGGACAGGCGGGCACGGGCCCTGTGGTCGCACCCCCAAGTGTTAGGAAAGAGCAGGGAGCAGACGGGGCTGCGCGTGCCACCGCTCCCAGCGGGGAGCTGGTAGACTCATCTCTGTGCCATTTCCATCATGCTAGTGCCAGAGCCCCTCCCTGCAGCCTGCTGGAAGGGTCTTGTTGCCACGCAGCCCCTCAGGTCAGATCGTGCTCCATGCAGTGTCTCTGGTGAGGGCTGTGGGGGGGGGAGGTTGGAAGAGGCTGAGCTCCCAGCCCTGGGGCAGCGGGATGCTGAGGGTGACCCTCCTGGCCTCTGGTGCCAGCCGCCGCGTGGGCACAGATGTCCAGATGTGTCTGCAGTGCAGAGGGAGAACCGCGCACGGGACCCTAGCGTCCGCGCTGGCAGTGGCTTGTGCCACGAAGCCAGGAAGCATGTGACCATGAGAAGACAGGCAGGCAGGCAGGCCCCTCTCCCAGACTGAGGACACACGTGTGCACACACCACGCACAGTGGGCACGTCACAGCTGTCCACCCACCCTTGACCCCTTTCTGAGCCAGTTCCCCTGCCGCAGCGCCGGGCAGCCCTGTGGCCAGCCTGTCTGGGGCACCGGCAGCCCTGGCTGCACCTTCATCCCTTCGAGCGTCCCCAGGGCCTCCCTGCAGACCTGCTCCTGGGGCATTTTCATGCTGTACATCCATGTAAGGTCACTAAGATGTCACATTGGACCAGTCTGGGTGATTTCCATATAGATAGAGAAAAAAAAAAAAAAAGAATAACCCACCCTCTAATCAATCCAATATAAGACTCCTGTTTGCTTTCTGTATGGTTATATCATGTGTGACATTTACTCCTGTCTCTGCTGACACTCTCTCTTTGACTTCCATGTTTCGGTTGGTTTGGCATCCGCTCATTCCTGTGCTGTAATGTTTTTATTTCCTCGTTAGGTGTTAGAATTGCACTTATTTTTGTAAAGGGTTTCTGCCTTGGAAGCGTTCAATGCCAAGTGGGAAGAACGGCGAGGAAACCTGTGGAGGGTTGAGTCCTCCGAGTCTGCCCGTTCTCCGGTGTTCGTGTTGCGCCCTCCCCTCCCCTCCCCTGAGCACGCAAGTCCTCAGCCGCTGGGACTCGGAGATGGGATACGCCGGATCCTGGCTGGGCCCCACAGGCGGTCGTCTGCACGCGCCGCGCACAGAGCACCGGCCCAGATCCGTGCGACGGGACCCAATGTCTCGATTCTGCCCAGGGGCCTCGGCACCGCTGCCGCCTCCTGCCCCGCGCCATGCAAGCAACTCAAAATACTTAAAAAAAAAAAGTTTACAGGATAGTTATTTTCAGATCTTTGCTTGATCAGTATTAAGATAAGAAAAGTATCTAACTCGCCGCCATAATTTAAAGCTTTGGGGGGGTGGGGGTTGGTTTATTGTGTTGGGGGGGTGGGTTGAGCAATATGTTTTTGCTGGACTCTGAAGTCTGAGACCTTCTTGTGCTGGAAACACATGAAAGTTGTTGAATAATGACAAGCAGACTGTGCATGTCTCTGATGCTTTGT